TATTTATTAATTGTGTTAATGTGAGGTGGGGAACCCGTGTACAAGATGTGTTCACATTTGTGAAAGTTCTGGCTCTTATCTTGGTGATAGCTGTTGCCCTTTACAAAATTGGTAAAGGTAAGAATATTTTTCATTTACTTAAATTCTTTAAAATGAACCATATATGAGTTTCAAAATCTGTGCAGGAAGATCAGCCTCCTTAAGACTTATATGTGAAGTGTTATTTACTCTGGAAAAAAAATGCCTGCCATAGGAAGATTTGAGCAAACAGATTTGAAAAAAGATTTGAACAGCAAACACCAGCTGAGTTAACATCAGTTTAGTGCTAACAAGTGTTAAGGCAGCCTCAGTGTCTCTGAGTAATTCCTGTTAAAGGTTAGCCTTGCCACTAGTCCTATGACAGGACAGCACAGCAAAAACTGCTGGATGCATCTTTTGCATCGCTCCTCATCCCCGCTCTCCCTGCCCTGCCCATGGCCGTGAGCGGTCACAGCACCCTGCGAGGGAAGAGGGTCAGGGAGGGAGGAACTTGTCCTTTCCTTCCTTGGTGAGAGGGCAAACTTGTTGAGGAAACAAGGGAAAAGACTGTAATACTGCAGTCCTGTGAATCACTGTGGTATCGTAAGACATCACAGGACAGATGAGCCACCTCCTATGAGCAGTAACCGGTCTGAACTGAACACACTGAAAAGCTGGAGACTAGTTTATTCCAGTGCTCCCTCTGGTCTTTGCATATGACAATAGATTTGATTTTATTAATTTGGACCTCTGGTACAGTGAAGTCTCTTCCAACTCTAGCTCTATTGCTTAGTTGCTAGGGTGTCCTCAATTTCCTTTCCCATGAAATTTCTAAATAGCCATTGTATCTTTCTTCGGTTGAAATGCAGATGGTTTTCCCTCTTCAGTTTAGGAATTGCCTTTTTCTCCTCAGAAACTAGTTTATTAAACCCAACGAGCGTGCTTGCTTTTCCATGTTTGCTGGCCTCCTCCTTTCCTTGGCTGCAGTTGCATCAGCTGTCACACTGTAAAGCTACACCAGACTTTAAGAGAGCTTTTCCCTTTAGCCATTATCCAGCATGTCAGTTGTCACTAATTTGTTCTAGTTTAAAGAAACCTGAACAAATGAACCCAGTCCTAAGGGCAGGAGTGTGAAGATAGAATCACAGAATCATAGAATGGTTAGGGTTGGAAGGGACCTCAAAGATCATCTAGTTCAAACCCCCCTGC